TCCCTTGTCTCGTATTTCGTTTTTGGTATTTGGTTTTTAGTTTCTCGTTGATCGTTTTTGATTTTTCGTTTTAGTATTGGATTAGGAGGTCATAGGATATTGGTGGAAGGTGATCGTTGACTTTTGAACCATCTCAGCATTCGCCTTACGAACGAGGGTAACCACGAAAAGCGCGGTCAGGATAGCCGGCCCGCGAATCGAACCCGGACCTTCGTATTACGAAGTCAGCGCGCTGGCCACTGAGCCACTTCGCTCGGTGTATTGTTGTTGTTGTTGTTGTTGTTGTTGTTATTATTATTAATATTATTATTATTATTGTTGTTATTATTATTATTATTTTTATTTTTATTATTTTTAAAATGATCCATTATATTTCAAGTCGGTAGTTTTAAAAATTTAATTTATATTCAGTCTCTCAACTCATACAATGTTTCAACAATTATATTTCTTATCTTTTTCAAGTATATTGAAAATATATTATTCACAATATATTATCAGACCTAAATTGTTTAAACAAACAACTAGTCTTAAATTCTATATTTTTACCCAGCTTGATGTAGGTAAGCCTACTGAACAATGTAATTGAATTAATTTTTTTCCCCACAATAATAATGTTCTAAGATGTACCATGACATCTTTTATCAAAACACTAGATTGTACATTGTATAAAGTCCCTGAGCCTGAAATATTTGTCAAAATGTAATCACAATTCTTTCAACATATGTTAGAAGAATATAATACAAAATGTGGTGAAAACAAAATGAAATTGTTAAAAATCTAAAAAAAACAAAAGGTTTAAAAAAATTATCTATCCAATCTCAATAATAATAATAATAATAATAATAATAATAATAATATTAATAATAATAACAACAATAACAATAACAAAAACAATAATATTAAAATAGTACATGATATCAATTATAATAGCAACTACATTTAATTTTACAATATTAGTAGATTCAATCTTGAAATGATGAGTACGAGGCAGGCTTGGGCCAGTTTTTTTTTTTCTATTTGTACACTGAGTCCTACAGCAGCTCCTAAAGCATCTGGCAAATCCAGGGTGAAGGAAAGAGAAATTTTGGTCAAGCATTCTTGTTCTAGAATGCAGGATGTAATATGCCAGTTCTTTTTTCATTGCTTCAGCTTGAAACAGTCAATCTGTATCAGAAAGTCAAATGGAATAAGAAGTTTTATTTATATATTTTTAAGGGAAAAGTTGTGATTTGAATATTCCTTCACACTCTAGAACATCTTGTTAAGCAGGAAAGCTTTCAATTTACTTTTAAATATATGAATTGGGTTTGTGTCTTTATTATCATTGCCCACCTTGATGTAAAGTGTAATGCCCTCTTCTGATACTTAGGGTATTCATTTGATGAAGTGTAGTTTCAGAGAGGAGAATATGTTGGTTATCCTTTTGATGAGTGTTTTATATGTGTAGATTAGGATTTAGAGTAAAAGTGTCTTTGTTTTCCATGAGAATCTTCTTGACTGGTCATTGTTCGCAGTATTCTTTTTTGTATAATAAATGTATGAGGGCTTTCAGGGGTGTTTACCCAGAATATTGTTCCATATTTTAGGTGAGAGTTCACATTTGCAAAATACGTTGTTCAAAGTGTCTCAATGTTGGAGCTTGACCTGAGGGTGTATAGGGCATAGCATAATTTGGTGAGCTTCTTGGTAATATTTAAGATGTGAGCATTCCATTTTATGTTTTCATGAATTGTTAGACCAATGACAATGATATATTGTTAAAGGGTTATTATTTATGAGCAAATGCTGTGAGAATTTTTCTTTAGATTGGGGTTTCATGAAATTTAGAGAGACTCTCTTCTGGTGTTTTTGATGAGTTTGTTGCCTTTAAACCATTTTACTAGTGCATGCAAAGTTTTGTGAGTTTCTTTTTCTAATGATTGTTATGTTTTTGCTTTCATGTTTGTGTTTGTGACATCTGCAAACAAAATTATTTTGTTATTCACTAAAGCCAAATGTATCTCATTTATGTATATGAGGAATAGAATTAGCCCAAGGATGGATCCTTGCGGAATTCCACATTTTATCATCTGAGGGCAGGAGTTGCATGAGGAGATTTGGTTTTCTTTAAGGTGCTGGAGGGCAACTATTTGGCTATAGTTTGATAAATATGATTTGATCCATTGGCCTGCAATACCTTGAATCACTGGCATTCTGTTAAAAGTACTTGATTGTCAATAATGTCAAATGCTTTTGACAAATCTAAGAAAAGGCCAATAGGAATTTTCTTGTGATTTAGTGCAACAAGTATGTCATTTAAAAAGAAGAAGATGGCTGTATCTGTGGATCTATTACTCCTGAAGCCATGTAGTGTATTTGTAGAGACAATATTTGCATTGAGAAACTGTTTGAGTCTATCATTAATTATTTTAGAAAATCCTGATAACAGGGAGGTAGGGCTGTAAAGCATTGGATCATAACTATTGCCCTTTTTGAACAATGGTTTAATTTTTGCCATTTGAATATATCTGGAAATACGCCTGTTTTTAGAGAGTAATTGCAGTTATGAGAGAATGGTTGCACTATACATGGAGACAGTGTTTGATAAAATCTGGAATGTTGTCTAGGCCTGCTGGGAATTTAAACTCCATTGGCCCAATGATTTTAAAAATTTCAGAGGGAGTGGTTTCATATAAAAATATGGAATTTATGATTTGTGTAACATTAGTGTTTAGAGAGTGTTGAAAGATTAACTTTTAACAATTTGTGAAAAGTGTTCATTGAAAATGTCAGCTATTTATTGTGGGTCTTGTAATGTTTGATTTTTGTAGTGGAGCTGCATATTTTTTCTGTTATTAATAGTTGGTGTTGCAGTCTTTTTAATAATGTTCCACATAGCTTTTGTTTTGTTACGTGCATTTGCAATGTACTTATCATTTGTCATAACTTTTGCTTGTTGGATTACTTTTTTTAGGCTCAAATTGTTTGTTTTGTAGTATGAAATGAAGTTGGAGTTACATTTGTTATTTGTTAGTATTTTGCATACGTTGCATTTTCTTTCACATGTCAGTTTGATGCTTTTGGTAATCCATGATTTGGTTTTCTTATTTTGGACATTTTTGAGAATGGCACTGTAATGTCTCAAGTATATATTTATGAATGTATTAAACTTAAAATTTGTATCAGTTATATACTTCATACCAGTTTTCAAATCTGAATAAGTTTTGAAAGTTTATTATGTTTCCTTGCAAATAGTTATGGATTTCTTAGTAAGTTGTCTTTTCTGTGATTTTTGATTCTGTTGCAGTGTTAGAATCTGGGTAGTGTGGTCTCTGAAACCTGTATTAAATATAGCAACAGAAAGACAATGGTTATTTGCATATAATATTATTTGATCTATAGCAGTGCTACTATTTTTTGTTATTTGGGTTGGTGAATTTATGGTTGTTTGTGAATTGTACAATTTTAATAGGTCTTTAAATAGATTTCCATAATTGGATTGTGAGAGGAAATTTATATTAAAGTAACTGCAAATAATATATTTTATACTGTCTGGGTTTTTTAAGTTTTGGAAGAATAACTTCCAGATTTTTTAAGAAGATTTTCAAATTCCCAGTAAGGCTACAATGTTTAATTTCTAAATAAATAACAGTAATTTCTTGTGATAAAGGACATGCTGTTGCTGCCATGAACCTTCATGAAGAAAAAAGAAAACTAGAACACAATTTTCAAGATCAAGAGAGTTATATCTCTATTATTAAACCTCCTTCAAACACTATTAAAAGATTTTCAAGAAATAATATGGAGATGGCATAAAAAAGAGATCATAAATATTAAAACTTTTAAAGAGATTTAACCAACCACCATTTCCTTACCTAGTGTATACAGATTTATCAAAATTCATAAACCCCAAAACCCATTACCTTTTTGTAATGTAAGTTTTAATGTTAAAAACTTTTATTACATTGATTTCTGAATGAATATACATCACCTTGTAAAATGATGTTCTTTATCAAGTATTAACAATGCTCTACGTAGGCTTCAAAAATTTTAAAAAATAATTACCTAGTAACAGTAAATTATCCTGATAAATGTTTATAAAAATATTTTTTCAGTACTTGAGAAAGATGAGATATATCATCGTTGAGATATACCATTCTACGATTTGAGTCAGTGAAAATAAAATGAAATTTGAAAATAACTGTCTTGGAATATAATGGGATCATTGTAATAATAATAAAATATTTATTAGACGGCAACAACTAACAAACAATTTATTCCCCTTTTAATTTTTTCCCAATTTAAAATTATAATGTGCATCATGGATCTCTCGACTTCAATTGTCTTTCCTAAAATAATGTTATTTTCAATTCTATAGCCAAAAAATTAATATTTAAGCTGATGTTTATTTACTTTAAATCTTCTTCTTTATTTATTATGTCCAGTCTTTTTGTTATTCAGGCAAGGATCCACAAGATGGGAAATGACGAAAATCTCTCTCCCCCCCCCCAAAAAAAATTTGCAAAACTATTTATTTTAACTTGTCACAAAACTTTCAAGCAAAAGTATTTTAAGATAATCATTAAAATGAATAAAAACATATCACTACATGAGCTGAGTGTAGCCTGCAACATTTTACAAAACCTGTAAACCATTGATTAAAATATTTTTAATTTCCCCTCCCAAAATTTTTCTCTGCCTCTTGTTTTTCAACGTATTTCCTCAGATTGGGCTGTAGTTAAATGAACATCGTGTTTCTTCTCTTATATAGCTAATTCTTGAAGATTCATCAAGATTACCCCCAGAAAATGTTAAAAATAGTGGTTGGGTGTTACAGGTCTAACAAGATCAGTTTCAAAATGTTTTAGTTCTGTCCTAAGGTTAACTTACCATAATTGACTAAAGAACAATTTCTACTGTCGTGATTTAAATTTTGTGAAAAATAACTCATTTCATCAGTTTTAAGATTTTGTGCAAAAGGACAAAAGAAGGTAAACACTTTTTTTTATAAATGAAACTACAGTATATATAGTTTTATTTAGATTAAGCTCAAATTATTACCCAAAATATGAAATATGTTACATGCCAAGTAATAAACTTTGGTTAAACAATTTAACTTGTGTATTAGGATTGAATTTATATTAAACCATTCCTGTGGTTATTACATTATTTTCATTTAGCCCTTTTACTTCTGCTGAGTGTTGCAGGTTCTCAGGGATATGCTACATTTGGGATGTGGATACACCAATTGAAAGAAAATGACATCTGCATAACTTGTTTTATTGTGTCCAAACTGGATAGATAAAAGCATAACTTAGTAGGCATGGTTAATAGAGTAAAGCGTATCACTGAATGAAATCAAAACAGCAAATGAAATAATCATAACAATAACTTACAAAGAGGGACAAGGATAATGCTCTGAGACTTAAAAGCCTTTTTTGCATCAGAAGTGGAAATCTACACACTTAACAACAGTAGTAATACACAGATCACATGAGACTGCTCCCAAAAATACTTTCTTTCCTTTCTAGAAATACAAGTCCCGTTTACTAGATTTAAGATTAATTCTTGAATCACTAAAATTAAAATGTTTTACACATTTAAAATATATTATATATCCATGAGTATAAATATACAATTACAAGTGTGTGATTTTTGTACACATTTAAATAACTTTTGATTTAATAGTACCTATAACTCCCATGACTATAAAGAACAACATTACATATGAAATCTACTGGTTCATGTTATATACATAGATACATGGGCAAAAGGGAAACATGGGAACATTAGAACCCGCACGTTACTTCAGGCAGTACCAGGAGCATAATCACAAAAACAGAAGCTTTTGATTTTAAATTTCAACAAGTTATCTAAGAAATTGCAGAATTTTATTGTAAATTATAGTAGGCCTTGAAAAAGTATAATTCAAAAGCAGTTTGAGAAAACTCGTGTTTCATGTTGCTTAGTGGTTGTTGTTGTTGTTGTTTTTAGTACAGTTGGGATGATTCTATTTTCAGTAAAGATATGCTTTTTAGCAGATGAAAAAAAAATTCACATTTGAAAATTTTGATTATGCTCCAACAATTCACAATTTGATATTTTCATTCCCTTTCAGTTTCAGAGTAAAATTGAAATTGCTGCCTAAATTTTTAATCTGGAAAGAAATGAATCTGTATGGAAGTTTTCATAAAAGGAAATAAAAGTACTTTATTCATTAAATTTATTTTGGGAGTTAAAATAGAATTAATGTAGCATGAACTATGTGAACAAATCTTTTATAATTTCATTTCATGAGAAAAAAGGACATAAAGGGGTGTATGTAAATTAAGGCTCACCAGTCATATATTATGCACGTGCGGATTTTAGTAGGACACATTACAGGTTGGCAATTGTGGAGCTAGTCCCACACAGTGGCTTGCATACACTAGAGCTCAAGAGCTCAAGTGTTCCTTGTGAAAAAACTGACTACATCAATGGATAGTTAAAGATTTTACTGAGAAGATACATGAAAACGTAATGGATGGGTTGACTATATCATAATACTATCAGAGAAAATATATAAGTAAGGAAGCAAGATGGAGACCTGTGGATTTCAACTTAGTTACAAAATCTTTTAGAATCAATGCTACACTTCTCTCTTGATAAAAGTGCTTTTGAAGTTAACGCAACAAGGGCTTGTACCATATTTTTTTGGCAGATCCCTTTTCCATTATCACAGAAACTTTTGACTGAGACTGTATGTATAAAAATAATGGAAGCTGAATCACCACAACAAAACAAAACAAATTATTAAAGATAACCATTGATGACATGTAGGTAAAAAGAAAATATATGACTTTTTCTTTCTAATTTTTTTTCCACATTTCCAAACAACATTTCCAGCAAAGCAAGCAAACACTGTGTGCAAATACTTTGCTGAATAATTATATTTGTTACAAATTCACACTTTAAAACTAACTACGAACATATCTAAGAATCTTGAGAATTACCAAGTTATCATTCAGTATACCAAAAGCCTGTTCTAAGACCTCTCTGCTGGGACTGCCCCCTGCTACAAAGGTAATTCAAGACATTCAACAATAGGCACTACACTTGAGTCTGCAACCAACTCTACTTCAGTCAGACAAACGCTGTTCTTATCGTTGTAAGATTGTCCACAGCCTAAATGTTCAGCTATCCTAATTCTGCTTGATCAATCAAAACAATTTGAATTAGTTTTGCCAACCTTGACCTTTAAAAATTTTACCAAATAAAGAAGACAAAATTGATCTCAGCACAAGTACTAATAAGTACTTGTGACAAATATTTAAAATAGCCAAATATTAAATTTTTATTAGCCAAATGCTCACATATGTTTTTACAATTTAATACCCATCATGAATGTTTTTAAATTTGGAGCAAATTAATTTTAGGCAATAATTTTAAGAATTTGTGGACACAAAACCTTATCATACAAACCATTTATGCAGACAATCTTTCCCACTTTGTCCTCAGATATATCAATGAAAATGTTTGCCATCCATGGACATTTAACATTAAGTAAATATGTTCACATACATACGTTTGTGTATAAGTGTGTATATATGTTTTTGAGAAAGCTTTTGGGCTCAGTATGAAATGTGTATGCATGTGTAAATGTTGGTGATGCAATATTTTTCATGAATAACACAGACTTGAACCTGTATCAACAAAGTGTAACAACATGAACAGCCTATTCTTCATTAACTGTTTGGTTTTGCTCTGGGCAGTAATATTTTCTTTTTATACATATATCCTACGATACACAAGGCTAATGTGTTTTCCTTTTATGGATCTTAGAAAAAGCTCTAGAAACTAGACAAACTTGGATCTATTTACATGGGCAAGAGCTACTGAACATTTCTTATATACAGATCTTGTCCACAAAGTTGGCTTCTATTGTCTTGTTTTCATACAATGGAAAGCTAATTAAAATACATACTAAATTAACTCAAAAAAAAAAACTTCTAAAATATTACTAATTAATTTCATTAATTATCATGAAAATAATTTCCATGCAGTAATTGTACAAAGAAATTTCATATTTTTAAAAATGAAGACAACAAATCAGATAATTTGATTATTCCACTTTAAAACATAAAATAAAAATAAATAATTTTCAGACATTATAATGTATTTCATGTGCATTTCAAGAAAAATAAAGCAAGACAATTAGCAGATTGGAGAAACTTAAATTGAATTTAATTCAAACAATTAATTAACATATTTGATAAAAAAATGCAGGTTGTATTGATACAAATGTTTAAATATATATTACTGAACAAAATCTCATGAGAAGAGAGAGAAAATTTATCATAAAACTTTCTTTCATACCTCACTGTTCAGTAATTATTTGTTGCGCTTGGAATATATTTTTAATATGTCTATATCTGAAATAGATCCAATATGTCATGAGGAAATGATGAAATGACCTCAGTCGAAGGAGTGCATACACTGATGACCTGCATCAAGTGAGCCAAAGTCATATTGTGTGTTGATTGTGATCAGCATTCAGTTGTGCCCTTTAGTCTTCAAGGCCAAAAAGCTGGAAATCATGCGATTGTCTTTTATCAGCAAAGACACTTCACTGTCTGCTATTAAGTAAATGTCATGGATCCGCCATGCAATTGATGGAATTCTTCAATGAGATGTAATATAAGACCATTACCTGTTTTAAGAAATGTCTTTGGGAAAAATATTTCTCTATGTTAACTTCTCTATCATTTATTGGCCCCCCTAAGTTAGTTTTTCTTTAGTGTCTTATAAGAAGTTATAAACAAACATGGAGGCAGCTAGAAGGAAGCAGAAAATTAGCACTCAGTTCTCTTCCACGGGGATACGCAACTGTTGTCTTGTTAGTTAACAAATCTAAAGATACAGGGCCTCCTCTACTAGGATTTTAGTATAGTAATACTGACATCATCTCACCACCATGCATACTGGCATCATTCAATATGTAATAACTACTCATAACTTGGGTTTACTAGTTTAGAACATTTCTATAACGGGTCACGTCAACTGATTTACGGTCGCGCCAGCTATTTATAAATAGTAAAATAATAGCTTAGTAAAATTATGAACAAAACCGCCATGTGCGACGTTTCTCTTCGCAAGCCGCAAGATGGCCGACCGGCGCCAACGCAGGGGGAGCTACTCGGGCTTGAGGCGGTGCCACTGGACGATGGTCTGGCGCGGCTTCGTGATCATGTCCTGCCAGTGCTTCGTCTCGGACGCCCCCGAGCCGTTTTTGCCTGCGAACACATCATCCACGAGTTTGGCTTCTGCTTGTAATGGTAGGAGTAGAGGGAAGGACGAGTTACTATTTTGTTAGCAATGCAGAAAAATCATACCTGCAATTCGTTTAGCGATGCAAATCATTTTTGTATAACTTGGGAACGAAAATGTCTATTTTTTAAAATATTGCTTATCTTGCTCTGATATAAAATTTATTGTTATTTACTTTAAACTATTACTCATCTTTCGACTATTCATAGGTAAAATGATGGAAGGGATTCTGGAACTCAAGAAAACGTGCGCAATGCTCTTCTCCTCCATACGTTACATACATATGTTTTTTTACTAAATAAATCTAAAACTAGTCGTAGGCAGTAAAACATCACCTACTATCTCACCCCTTAGTACTGTTTATGTAATACTATTTTTTTTTTGTATACCAGCATTATCAATACCCTTTTCTGGTACAAGAAATCGTTCGTAATCAGGCATTTGACGGCACAAATGTTGACGTATTAGATCTTACGGCGAGAATGATTGCGTCACCACACATTCACTCGGAGCGAGAGAATCGTGGGGAGGCAGAGATGAACGGAACAGCTCAGTTTTCACGCACAGATGTCAAATATCCGAGACCTCACAAGAAAGTTATTTCGCAAACTTAAGTTTCATTCTCTTTTAAATTTATAATGCTGTTATACAAAAAGTAGGGTATGTCACTCGTTTGTAATGTTGCTTTATTGCATTTCTGCAAATTTTAAAATTCGCTCCTCACTTTCAAAACATGTACTCATACAATAAAACTTAACACATAAACTAATATTATTCTACTATTTCTCTCTGAATTAACAGATCTCAGTCATTATTCGCAAAACTCTAACTAAAACTGGTAGAAAATTTATTGCGAAAACTAAATATTTTCAAGAAAATATGAACACAAATTTGACATTTATAACTCCTTTTCATACAGCTAGGACTCCTTTATAACTTCTTGACTGACCAACCAAACTCCACGACTCCACCAACAAAATTTCATCAAAATCGATGAGACAGTTTTTCAGAAAAAATTGCTTAAACAAAAATTAAAAATTGCCTATATTTTAGTGGAAGTTTTATGTGAAAGATACTGAAATTTTCTAAAAATTGTACATTAATGTATTTCAAAATATATTTGGAACAGATTTTATTAACGGAAAAATCTCTATCTTTAATATTTTAGTTGAACGAAAACACCGAAAAGAATTTTTGAATTTTTTTTGTTTTCGAAAAAACCGTTTTCAACGAAAATGAGACCTGCACCATTCTCATAAATGTCTTTTACACTATCCAAAACAAAACAACAAATCTCATGATCGTTCAAAATCCTGATTTATCGAAAATTGAACAAATATTTAACATTTTCGGCGTCTTCCTACAACTACAATTATGATGATAAACTTTTTTCTTAATGATATGTGTTCATGAAAAACACACTTAAAAATATTGTAATGTTCAATTTTTCAAAAATGGTAAATTTTGCGAAATTCTGTGTCAAACATAGACAACTTTTATTTTCAAAACATTTTTTTATTAAATTTAAACCTTTGGTAGCGAAAGGACGTAAGAGAATGGTGTAGGTCCCATGATCGTTTAAATACCTGATTTTTCGAAAATTAAAAAAAAAATATTCGGCGTCTTCATGCAACTTCAATTGTGAAGATATATTTTTTGAAGTATGAATGAATAATGAATTTTTTTAAAGTATTCGTTTTTCTGAGAAATTTTGCGACATAGTTGCCCGCTCCGAATTTAGTACGCTTCGTGAAAATAATTCCAGTAAGTTGAATGCTTTGTAAGTTAGAATTTGTATATTATTTCATATTTCTTTGTTCGTTTCTTACATTCGAGCTTTTGTTATACATTAGAAATGCTTTTAGAAATTATTTAAAACCTATTTGAAATATATGAAATTAAAAATTGCTAGCCTTCAAGGAATATCAGATTGGAATACAACAATGGCTTGGCAACAATGCTCGGGAGCTACTTTCTGTGAATTACGTATTATTGCTGGGACATGATTAACCTGTATGAAAAGCAGTTATAATTGTATAATTTGTGTAGATAATTGCTTGAAAATATTTAGTTTGTGATGACTTTAAAAAATGATGACTAAGTTGTGTTAATTCGAAAATAAAGTATGATACATAATGAAACGAGTGCAAATACTTGGTTTGCAATCTTCTCAGTGATTGGTCAAGAATCTGTATCGTAATGAGTATTATTATGAAACAGGTTGCAGCCATCAAATGAGAGAATTATACAATGGGAGTAAAAAAAATAGTAATACGTAACTATTACTAAAGGCGAGAAAGTAGGCGCTGTTTTAGCACCACCAGGTTACTTTCTTACACTTACTGACATAAGAAAAAGTATTTAAATCGTGCGCCGGAACATGGCGAATTTTCGTCAGAAAAACTTATTGCCGGGCCCTAGTAACAAAAATGGGGATAAATTCAGTTTCTAAATATAGAAAAAAATCCTTCTACACATGATGAAACCAAAATCGAGGTTTGTATGTCATTGATATCGAAAAATTGAAAGACGGCAAAACGTCTGTCTGTCCGTCTGTGAACAACGATAGCGGTTAAACCGTTCTGTTGATTTTCTCTACAAATGATATTTCCCAATTGATCTGGCATCCGGAATATGAAATCAATCTTTTAATTTTGGGTGTGTTTTACCTGAAGCTTCTCAGACATTTTCAAAATTTTGAAAAAAGTGGATCCAAATTTTTTGTGCAAATTTTGTTTTTGGATAATGCTAAGAACGTTTAAGATAATAGTGCAGGTCTCATTTTCGTTAAAATACGTTTTTTTTAATTAAAAAAACGTCGGCGTCTTTCTGCAACTATAATATTGAAAATAGAGATTTCCCTTAAATGAAATCTGTTCCTTAAAAGACAAATTCAAAAATAAGATTATATTCAACTTTTCGAAAATAAATTTTCCCAAACAATTTTTCTCAAAAACTGATCAACATTTTTTCTTTAAATTTTTTCCACATATGTAATAAGGGACGTTAAATTTTGTTGCAGTTCCACTTTGTTGTTTTTCGAAATTAGCCCAAAAAAATAAAACTACAAAATTTAAGAACGACTTTTTCCTTATGCAAAGTCAGTTGTACAAAATTAGCTCTTTAAAAAGGCCACGAACATTTTTTTGTAAAAGTTAGAAGTTTTCGCGTAATTTCTGTTTGAAATTAATGAAACATATATGGGGGTCGCGCCAACTATGGGCCACAGGTAAAATTATTCGGAGAACAGTAATGGATCAAAAAAATATTAAAAATAATGACTGTTTTTAATTATCATTTACAATTGAAAATTTCAATATTCATTTGATTTTACTCTCGTATTCTGCAATTTGTATTCTCGTTCCTTATTTCCTGCGCTTTGTGGCCGTAATTCAACGTGTTCCAGGCTATCGAAATAAACGCAGGTATGCACTTCAGGCGCGGCGTTTGAATTGGGTGGGTTTGGATTAGATTATCATTATTTTTAATTCTTAAGATGAAAGAAAAATTGAAAAAAGGGAATAGCATAAATTTGTCCGATCATTTTAACTTTAATTTTACATTACTACTTATGCAGCCATGGGAAACAAGAGAACAATGTATATTCGTTGTTGAAGGCAACAAGATAAGCTAATGAAATGTGAAATTCTTTTGAATTCTTCTCTTTGTCGAACATTGACATGGAACCCTTATGAGGCTTTGTTTCATGTAGGGGCGGTGCACTGTCTACATTGTACTGCGCAATCCTGTAAAGGTGAAGTCTCTCATAATAATGGCGTAATTATTTAGTAGAGAGGAGGTTTATGGTCATTCAGTAGGATATTATTTAAATGAATACGAAGGTTTTCCAAAGTTAATCTAGTGTAATATTGATTTTCTATTTCGAGTATATGAACGATGCGTAGATTGAATATGTGACCTGTCGGAAGCAAATGTTTGGCGAAGTGAGATTTATTGGTGTTGTGTTTCCCTGCGTGTCTGTGTTATTTAATTCTTGTGTTAAATGTTCTGCCGGTTTGACAAAAGCATTTGGCTTCCCAGCCGAGGCAATAAAATGCGTAGACACAGCTTCTTTCTAAAAGGTGTGTTTTTTGGGGAGTAGAACTTTTATGAGTGAGTTCTATGATTTGAATGAAACCTTTATTCCGGCTTTGTGTATATTGTGAGAGAGTGTTTCATGTGTTGCTAGAGAGTACTTTTACAGTTTCTGTTTTACGTATTTTACGGCGTAATATGTTGTTAAGGAGATTAGTGATAAAACTGTCTGAGAATGCAATGTGTTGTTGAGTTCTTCCAGAAAATGAAATGAATCATTAAAACTAATTCTGCAAAGAGGGAAGCAAATGTGAACAATTCTTTAGGACGTAGGATTGCGTTTCATTCGGTCTCTCAATTTGACTAATTTCACAGCTCTCATGTTCAAATAGGTAAAATGGAAAATGTTTGTATATTTTGAGTCAACTAACTTTTTTTTCAATATAAAGAGATTAGTGCAGAGGTACGTAATTAAGCAATGATCCTTTACATATTAAGACTAACCTATACTATTGTTTTGCATATCTGTTCCTCATAATGAATGAGTTCATCCATTTTTTGCTATAAAAAGAGGCAAAAATGAATTTATCTAAAAATATTTTTCTCTAAACAAATAAAAAAATTCTAATTGTCCTTGGTTTCTATTATTCAGATTTCAAGATCCATAATATGTAGCACTTCAGATCAAATAATGAAGCAAAAATTGCTTTGTTCATTGGTTCAGTACATTGTCAATTTATTGAGTACACATAATGACCATATTGGTGGATCACGTTGTTAGGATGCATTCGTTTGATGAATTGATTTACCTAAACAAATAAGTTTTATACTACATATAACTAACCCATAGGACTTTAACATATATATTTCTGTCGTCTTCAAAACAATTACAAAACAGGTAATTACGTTTCAGCGTAGATGTTATTTTACT